ACACAATTAGTGTAATTGTTATGAAGAGAAAATGCAATGTTATACGAAGATTAAATTATGTGAAACAATCGATTGAACGCCGTTTGGTTATTGCCCACAGCATTATAATGTTACAAAAAAAGATGATAGTCTAATCAATCATTTTTCTTATGAGTATGCTTACATTCACTCGCTTTTCGGAAATCAGTTTGGGCTAGATCTCTGGGCTTCACGCCATGAGTTATAGTTATGATGAAATTTTCAGCAAGATAGAATTTCGAAATCGGATTTCTTGAAATCTATTCCTATCGCAGATCGAGATCTTCATTAAGGATTTGTACCATTTAGTATTGATTTTTGAACTTCTCATTCAGTTAACGAGAGGAATTTGTGTTTTTACATTCGTACTCATTTACGTCGCTAACTACAAATAACCTTAATGTTTTGAAAAAATTAATTTTGCATCCTAAAGACTCCTTTAAAAATTGCACTATTTATTTTGCGAAACTATTGTTTGAAGTTGTGAAACTTGTAAATTGAAATGTGCGTAGTAAAAACCTTTGTCGATTTTGTGTCATATCGCTAAAGCTAGTTTCTCAATAATGACTCAGCGAAACAAAGGCTTCTCGAGGTGAGTTTTTTTAGAATATCTAAAGTAACTCAACGTACATCTTTTACAAAAAAACTTAGCTAAAAGAAATTTCAGACTCTAGAGATATACGCATTTTTATTGTGCAAAATCACATCGCTAACGAACGCAATCACCCATATATCGCAGGTAAGTTAAATAAGAAAATTAATTAAATTAATTTTATGATATTCAAATATTGTAACAAATCATTGAGATTAATAAAAATTTCAATCATAACTTTTCATTTGATCTTCCAAGGAAATCTATCGGACAGAATTCATATGTTGCTCATAAGTAGAACTTTTAGTTTAAATGAAAACCTGAAGATTTGTGCCCTTATGATTTCTTTCAATAATAGATTTTATGGTATTTATCATATCCTGAAAGTTTTAGCTCAAACGTGTGCTTCTTCGAGATAACATGTTTACACAAAACATAACTTTCTCACAAAATTTTCCAAAAAAGTTTATATTTTAAGTAAAACTCATCAGTTTAAACTGAAACTTTCAAGATATAAGAAATACTATGAGATTTGTTATTAGAAAAAATTTTCAGGCGGAAATTTTTTATTATAATTTTTGTTTTGTAATATACTTCAGTATGTTGAAAATTCAATAAAACGAACATAATTCAAGGAGAATGTCTTAAGGGCACGAACTCTCTTAGAACTTTCATCTAAACTAGGAGTTCTACTTATAAGCACAATATAAACTCTAATACAGAGTATCAATTAGAGAAGTTCTCTCGTCAGAAAAAAATAATATATAAAATGAGGAGTAACGATTTTCAGGCACATCGAGTCAATTGAATCTTAATGATCTGTTAGTGTAAAAACAAGCAAGATAATGATAGAAACTATATTGTAGATGGTTTTAGTAAATGTCTAAAGACTATGGACTCGATTACATTTTTAATTTTCGACATTTCACGTGGAGAAGATTCATAATTGTCAAATTTTACACGTGTCCCTTGATGTGTGCACTTGTGACCTGATGCACACTAAACAACTTGTATACCGATAAATAGACAGTAAAAAAACAGTAAGTTCTTGTTGAAATACTATTTAACTATGAGGTCAACATCGAATATAAATCGTCCAAGGCACTGAATTAGAGTTTAGTCACTCTGAGTTTTATACCTATCGATAGAATTTTTCACGGACTACAAATTCGTATAC